TCCAGCAAATCTATTCCCGCCAAGGCTCCAGCAATTCGATTCCCCGCCAAGGCGCAGCCTCGCTCACTTCACCACCATATCCATATGCTCTGTGTGAAATTTCTCTAGCGTGTACATCTCACACCACGATCTCCGCCAGTTCATAACCGCCGGCCACGCCCCCAGCTCCTTCCAATCACCTCAGCGTACAGATTGCAGCTTCACCATCGTCTCCTTGCAAGCTCTGACTTGGTTCGATTTTTTTTGCCGCCTGGTGAGTCCAGGTTCATGAGAGCTGGACATCCTCCTACAACCAGCTGACCATAGTGCCACCGACGGACCACAAGTGAGCTATTCCTTCTCTAGGTGTCCCATCCTAATCTGTTCCTTTGGAATTCTGTGATGATTCTTTTGCGTGCGAATGTTGCGCAAGTTATCCTTCTTGCTATCGATTATATGAAATGCATATTCACTGGTCTGATTGTGGCTGTTGATTTTTTCTGCTTTTCTTGCACGCAAGGTGTTTGTGCTTTTGTCCAAGAAGCTATCTGTTGGTAGACTATAAAAGGCAGTGCTATCTGAACATAAAGCATATGTTCATTCTGTTCATGTCTCATAGCTGTTTGCAAATTTGAGTATGCTTTAATTATTTTTCTCGGATTTGGCAACCTAAAAATGGTCTAATGCTTATATACTGTAGGTTGTGGCTGAAAACACCTGGCTTCTAACAATCAAGAATCGAAGTCATAACCGCTAGCTGTCCAGTAAAACCCAAGAGATGGAAGGCCGAATTCCTTTCAGAGATATTACAAATGTTCACTCGATGACTTCACCAAAAGGGAACCAACGTACGTTTTTTGTAATATGTCGATATCTTCTACTTATTATCCATATTGATCGCTTGCCTTGATATACTGTGTGTTTTTTGTTTGGTGGGGAAATAGTAGCTGCGGTTGCAGAGCAGAATGATCCTTTAGCAGAAACCAATAAGGCTATCCAAATGAATTCTTCCCAGCGTAAGCGTTACCGCGACCGGGATAGGTATTTGCAAATGACTCCATATCAGAGGGAAGCCTATCTGCAAAGGAATCGTGAGTATAAAAGAATGCGGCGTGAGTGCAGTGCAATTTGTAACAACACACAACCAGCACCACAACAGAAAATTTTGAGATCTAATAATAAGAACCAATCCATGACAAGTGACTGTTCTAATCAATAAAATATGCATTACAAACTTTATCAATGGCCGTTGAATGTTCGTTTATCTTTTTTATTATGCGATGTATAATTATTGGATAAATTGAACCTACATTACAGGAGAGGAAGTCGTGGGCAGTTCAAACTATGAGAGGCACGATTCAGTATTTACTCAACTAGGGTCTTCATCAAAAGGCAAACAAGGTTGTGATATATAATTAATTAACAAATATCTACTATACAAATTTATTTATTATATTTCATTACACTGCCGTTGACTATTTTTCCTTGAAAACTGTGGCAGATAGTGGTGGTTCTGAGACAAGCCGTCCAAAAGCTAGAACTTGGTTCACTATCAGTCCATCTGGCATATATTTATCCTCGATATCCTCGCAAGAACAAGCTACAAAGTATGAATTGAAAAATGTGGGTCAGCGTAAGCGACAACATTGCACCAATGTGTACTCACAACTATCACATGATCAAGAAGAAACACATGTACAAGAGATTTGTGGCCCTAATAAAAGAAAGAGGTCAGAAAAAGGAAGTTGTAGTACTGCACGGGATCCTGGTAGAAATACCAACAACTTGCATGAAGACATCATTTATGTGCCCCAGGATTATTTTCCTGTCATTCATGGTAATTTTAGTCATAAAAACAATGATTTAATCTATATGTAGCACATAACAATTATTTCATCTATTTACATCTAGATATAATTTGTCAACAGATTATCTGGCAAATACCGAAGACAACATTGAGTGCGATGAGGTGGATGATGAAAGTCTTATGTATAATGGGCCAGGTAAGTATTGACTGGTACTTTGCTCAATCATTCATAGTTATTTGTAATACTTTAATAAAATATTACTTTAAAAAAAATACAGGTCTTGACTTTGAATCATATCAAGAACCAAAGCTTGTTACAAGGTGTATACAAGCAGATCCATATGATCGTATATATCATAATGTGCCCAGTGGTCATCATTTTCTAGAGCGAGTGCCCAACTGTAGACATTGTAATGCGAAAAGGTTCCCATATGAGACACCAACTTTTTGTTGCATGAATGGAAAGGTGAAGATAGTAACCCCAGTGGTTCCTGAAGAATTGCGTCAGTTGTACACGAGTCAGGATCCAAATGCAAAATACTTCCAAGATCATATACGGTACTTCAATTCTCATTTCTCTTTTACCTCTCTTGGTGTCATCTTGGACCAAAGGTTCTGCAATAGGAGGTCTGGAGTTTACACCTTTCGTGCACAGGGCCAAATTTATCACCGTATTGACCAGTTGGTTCCAAAAGAAGATGGCCCCAAGCATTTACAGTTATACTTCTATGACACGGATGCAGATTTGCAACAAAGATTTCTTCACTCGCCTAACTTAAACCAAATTCTCATCCGTAAGTTGGTAAATATACTTTCAAGTAACCCTTATGTACAAATATTTAGAAACCTTGGTTCTATTCCAAACCTTGATGAATATATGATTGAGCTCAACACAGATATTGCCTTAGATCAGAGAGTATATAATGCTCCAACAACATCACAAGTAGCAGCAATCTGGGTTGAGGGAAATAATCCTCGAGGTCATTTTGACAGGAGTATCATGGTGTATGGTAAATCGGACAAACCACAGTACATAAAAGCATACCATGGTTGCTATGACCCATTGTCATATCCGCTTATTTTCCCGAAAGGGAAGTTGGATGGAACTTGAATTTACCAAAAGTTGGTCCCCATGCTAGGAGGAAGAGAGATGATCAAGCAAATGCTCTCAACGAAGAAGGCAAGTTTTTTGTCAAGTATACTTTTTTATTACGTTGTTTCAGATTCATTTATCTAACCATAAATTGCCTTGCACGCAGGGATGGAAAAGAGCCCTGGTTCTTGTGTGTCACCAAGAGAATATTATTGTTATAAGTTACAAATTCGAGATGGTGATTTCAACGTCTTACTATTCGGAAGGCGATTAACTCAACAGTATATTGTTGATATGTACATCAAGATTGAGTCAATAAGGCTGGCTTTCTATTTACAACCGTCAACTCAAGTTCTCATACGTGCAGATTTATATCAAGGATTGGTTGATAGCGTTGTAGCTGGTGAGACACGTGCATGCATGACAGGAAAGCGTATTGTGCTCCCCCCAAAATTTATTGGAGGACCAAGAGACATGCGTCGAAGGTATCTAGATGCAATGGCATTGGTCCAGCGATTTGGGAAGCCAGACTTATTCATTACAATGACATGCAACCCGCAGTGGGAAGAGATAACTAGAGAGTTGGAACCAGGCCAATCACCACAAGATCGTCCAGATTTGGTAGCACGAGTCTTCAAGGCAAAGTTGGAGGATCTTAAAGATCTTTTATTCAAGAGAAAATTATTTGGTGAAGTCGCTGCACATGTTCATGTAATAGAATTTCAGAAGAGAGGCCTACCGCATGCACACTTCTTAATTATTCTGAAGTCAAATTGCAAGATTACTAATCCAGATCAATACGATGAGATAATATCAGCAGAGATCCCAGATAAAGACAAATACCCTGTACTGCATGCTTTAGTTATTAAGCACATGATGCACGGACCATGTGGAGTTCTCAACAGTAAGAATGCTTGCATGGAAAATGGAAATTGTAGATACCATTATCCGCGGACATTCTCAGATACAACATTACAAGGAAAGGACTCATATCCAATTTATAGACGGAGGGATGATGGTCGTCGAGTGCGCATTAGGGGTGCGGTCTTGGATAATAGATGGGTTGTTCCTTACAACCCATATCTACTTATGCGATACAATTGCCATATCAATATAGAAGTTTGCTCTAGCATTAAGGCTGTTAAATATTTATTTAAGTACATATACAAAGGTCATGATCGCGCCTCCTTTGTCATTGAGTCCAGAGGAGATAATGTTGTTATAGATGAGATTCGTGAATATAGGGATGCAAGGTTTATATCACCTCCAGAGGCAATATGGAGGATTTATTCTTTCAATCTAAGTGAGATGTCACCTCCAGTTTTGCAGTTGCAGGTCCATTTGCCAAATATGCATCTTGTGCATTATGAAGACTCCGATAATTTGGATAATGTTTTACGCAGAGAATCATCTTCAAAAACAATGCTTAGTGAATATTTTAGAATGAATTCTGTTGACATTTACGCGAGAAATTTCTTGTATAAGGAGTTTCCAGAATATTTTGTGTGGGACAACAGTTGCAAAAGTTGGAGACGTCGCAAACAGAAACGAATTCAGATTGGGAGACTTGTGTCCGCGCACCCTGCTGAAGGAGAGCGTTATTACTTGAGGATCCTACTAAACCATGTGAGGGGAGCCAAATCATTTGAGGATCTACGAACTGTTGAAGGTACTATTTTCTCGACTTTTAGAGAGGCTGCACAGAGAAGGGGTCTCATTGAAGATGATCGTAGTATTTCAGATTGTCTCAGCGAGGCTGCGACATTTCAAATGCCCTCTGCACTTAGAAGACTTTTTGCAACAATTTTAGTTTTCTGTGAGGTAACAAATGTCCGTGAACTGTGGGACAAGCATTTAGAAGCCATGTGTGATGATTTTCGAAGAGAAAATGTAAATGCTGAAGTAGCTGAGCGAATGGTGCTTAAAGATCTTAGAAGTTTGTTATATTCAATGGGGAAGGACATAAATAACTTTGGCTTGCCATGCTTACTAGATAACAATGATTTAGAGAGCTTAAGTTGGAGAGAAGTGTGTGATGAGATGTCTATTGAGGTTGAGCAGGAACACTTAGATTTGTATGACAAACTAAATAGTGAGCAGCGACTTGCTTTTGATGAGATAATGACTCATGTCTTGCACCAGAAGAGTATGGTTTTTTTCATAGATGGTCCGGGAGGTACAGGGAAAACATACCTTTATAAGGCTTTGCTCGCAAAGGTGCGGTCAATGGGACTAATAGCTATCGTAACAGCAACCTCTGGAATTGCTGCATCTATCATGTCTGGCGGTAGAACAGCTCATTCCAGATTCAAAATTCCAATTAATATTCAGGATGACAGCATGTGCAACTTCAGTAAACAAAGTGGAACTGCAGAATTACTTCGGAGGTCGTCTTTAATAATTTGGGACGAAGTTGCTATGACAAAGCGTCAAGCTGTGGAGGCACTTGATAGATCTCTGCAAGATATCACCGGTTGTGGATCACCATTTGGAGGGAAAGTAGTAGTGTTTGGAGGTGATTTTAGACAGGTTCTTCCGGTGGTGAGGCATGGCACTAGAGCACAAATTACAGATGCTACACTAAAAAAGTCTTATCTTTGGCCAGACATAAGACATATCAAACTATGGCGCAATATGAGGGCATTGTTTGATCCATGGTTCTCTGATTTTCTCCTTAGAATTGGTAATGGTACAGAGGAATCAATTGGTCAAGATTATGTGCGCCTGCCTGAAGAAATTGTTATAGGTTACACAGATGTAAAGGCCTCTGTTGGTAAGTTAATTGATGAAATCTTCCCTTTAATGGACAAAAATGGAAACTCGCCATCTTATATTAGTGCACGTGCCATTCTTTCCACAAAGAATGAATATGTGGATGAGTTAAATGAAATGCTTATTGATCGATTTCCTGGAGAAGAAAAGGTCTATTACAGTTTTGACTCGGTGGTTGATGATCCACATAATCACTATCAACCTGAGTTCCTAAATTCACTCACACCTAATGGCCTACCTCCGCATATTCTCAGATTGAAGATCAACTGCCCTGTTATTTTGATTCGCAATCTTGATCCTTCTAATGGTTTATGCAACGGTACAAGGCTTATTATTAAGGCATTTCAAGATAATGCTATTGATGCAGAAATTATTGGCGGACAATATGCTGGGAAGCGAGTGTTCCTTCCACGAATTCCTCTCTATCCTTCAGAGGATGATGCTCTCCCCTTCAAGTTTAAAAGAAAACAATTTCCAATTCGGCTTAGTTTTGCCATGACAATCAACAAAGCCCAGGGTCAAACCATCCCAAATGTTGGCATATATCTTCCTGAGCCGGTGTTTTCTCATGGCCAACTCTATGTTGCTTTGTCTAGAGGGACATCAAGACAAACAACTAGAATACTTGCAAGGCCAAATAAGGATATTGACCCATCAGGGAAAAGCACAAAAAATATTGTCTACAGGGATGTTTTGGTATAATCCATGAACATGCTCTGTACTGCAGTGATGTTTCTAATATGGTTGTATTCATGTAAATAGTACCCAGGAAAGATAATGTTAGATAGGGTTTCAGTCATTATCTTGTCCGTGTGAAAATTGTAGACCAAAAGATATGTTTACAGGGGTAATATTCTAGCATGTACAGTACTTAAATCTACAGATTTACTGTTCTTCTCTCAGTTATAGCATATAACAGAAATCGAGAAACATAAGTTAGCACATATCATTTTTTGTGATAGCCATTGGGCTTCACAAGTATATGCAATAAACGCACATTTTTCAGTTTTAACATACGACAGAAACATTAAGTCAACAGAAATGGGCATAGGTCAGTTTCCTTTATTTTCTGAATACTCATACGGAATCAGAGTTACAGAGTCATTACAAGCCAACTCAACAATGGATGGACATGCCCCATCCATAGTAGATTACTAATACTAATCTGATGCACCTGGGCAGCAAGACCATGAGTCGGCGCACTGCGCCCTCTACCAATTTGCAGGAACTTACACAGGAGATAAACCAAGAAGGAAATTTACGAACATCAGTGTAGATGTTGTGGCTTCTACATGCTGGGGCTACATCACAATGAGCAGAATCAGATCCGAACTCATCAGGGGAAATGCAATGATCAAGCGTCAAGTGCACATCAAACTTCAGAGTGCTCTCACTTCATAGTTCTGAAACAATTCTCAAGTTCCTGCCTCCTGGTTAGCAGCAAAGGGGATCTTGCCATGGTGATATCTTGACATAACACCTGCAGAAGCTGCAAATATAACACATGAAAATTCAAAATAATGACAACGAACCTATAAATTATTCTTAATAAGTGGCAACATCTAATAATTTAGTTACATTGTACGAACATGGAAACTTACAGTTTAACTCCATTATATTTCTTTTGTAAGCAAGGAATGGGTGCAGAAATGTTTCAATCACCCGACTTGTTCTTTATTTTTGTAACCTACAAATCAACAAATTTAAATATATTATTCACACTGATCAATCTTATCTCCATTCTTTAATTGAAAAAAAAAATCAGAAATTCAGAGAAGTTGAAGTACTCACGGTGCTGCTGCCTACTGAGTACCGTATGCTGATGCACTGATGCTACGGTCGGTGCTAATCGCCGGCGCAATAGCGGAGGAGCCGTGGAGGCGTGAAGTGTTCCACCTGCCGGCGTGTGCTCTTTTGAGGCCGTGGCTGCCGGATTCAGGCGCCGCCATGGCTGCTGATGACGATTGGGCTGGGCGAGGCGACCAGCCGAGGCCGATTGCCGGATGTCCGGGTCGTGCGCTGCCCCTTCGCCCTCTCGCGGTCCTCTGGTCGGCGTTCGTCGGGTCGCGGGGCCAGAGACGTGGGGAGGGGCGGCGGCGCGGTGCTGCTCCGGTTGAGAGTTAATTTTTTTCAGAAGAATCTTTTCTTTTTCTAAGAGCCGCTCGACATAGAGGCAGGGAACTCACTTTTTTTTGAGCTTTTTTTTTTGGTGCTAAGGCAGGGAACTCACCTCTGTTGGCGTTTCTGAGTGGGCCTCCACACAAACTGACCCAGTGGCAAGCTTCCAGGCCCGTATAGCTGTGTGTTACTCTGCTGGCCCAAAACCACATTTTAGCATAAGGCAGGACGCAAAAGGTCGAAGGGTCTTCCCTAAAAAAAGATCGAGCTGAACGGCCATTCTCACAAATATTACGGCGGTACATACCTTTTTTTTGTGAAGTCCTAAATATTGGATTATTTTTTGCGGAGACCCTAAAATTTCTTTTTTGAGCACTGGAGACCCTAATTTTTTTTTTGCGTGTGCTGGAGACCCTAAATATTGATATGCATGGTAGAATGCATTATATTCCATCTATGTCCAAGTTATGTATAATGCATGCAGATGATTATTTTCTGAAAAAATTTGGTCCCATAATTTGACTTGCTGTTTTGAGAATACTAACTGTAAGTTTGTAAGTGTTAAACAAAATTACTCTTGACATGATTTGGAAATATAAGAATCAAATTTGTTCATCAACATTATAACACGGCAAGAGGTTGCGAAGCTTAAACTCCATATAAAAAGTGCTTCATTTTTATTTAAAGTTCTCTTGTTTGTATGAAAATTTTAGTTAACAACGCACACGTGCAAAGCACGTGCCTTCGACTAGTATTACTTTAGTACAAAATTGAGTCATCTATTTTGGAACGGAGGGGGTACACAACATGGTCCAAGTCTCTAGACTAGTGAAAGTGAAGTTGTTGTACCGTGCGTGCGTTAGGCATACTCTCCAGTTGATGCATCGGCCTACCCTAGGTCGGCGCAAGCATTGCGACTTCCTACTTGCCAGCAAAATAAAAGCTACCTTGCCCTCGACCCATACGTTGCGGCCTATCACGCAACACTTAATATTTGCTCGGTTTTTCTTAATCAATAAAATAGGGATTGGGAAATAGTATTACTTACTCCTATCAAGGGGAGATACAAGGCTTCAGGACGGTGACTTCCAAAAGGGCATACATGAGACGGCAAGGGTAGTTCTGTAACTTTTAATCAGCACAAAGTCCTCATTGTAACAGCAGGCAAACAGCCCATTCTGTAACGAGTTACAAACTTGAGAAGCAGCATACAAGATACAACACAACTAAGACAACCACAAATCGCAGACCTGCCTTTTGTTAGCTAGTACCTTCTTGTCATGTGGTTATCTGAACCATCATGTTCTCTATAAAATCTAGCAACAGAATGTAAAAGTCAACAAACAACAGTCACTATTTTACAAGTCATTTCCAGAGCTTGACAAGCCTGTCATGACTAACTGAGGCAACCTTGCCTGTTGCGCTCGATGCTGCTAGGGCTGCAATTAAACCGTCATGAGCATTGTTAAAGGTCATGGCATTCTTCTCCCTGATGTCCCAAAGTTCCAAGGACTGCACGGCAGAGTATAGCAACACACACTATCAGCATGCTCACTAAATGGAGTTTCTGCACTCAAGCTCAAATGCACCCTCATGAACAGTAAGCTTGAAAAAGCATTTCTACTGAGCTGGGTGGAAAAAACAAAATTGATGCTCCAAAAAGACTATTTTTTTAAAGCATTTTAGAGTGCTATTTTAAGATCGAGCCCAAATTCAATTAATTCTCTACTTACTTTTTCCTGTTCATAGGGGGCATTTGGGCTCGGGATTAAAAGGGCACTTTCGAAACTTACCTCGTAACAACCAATGACGAGCAAAGAAGGGTGAGCTGGATGGAAAACACATGTTTGAAACTTGTTCCCACTGCAGTTCAACTCATTCACAAATTCACCATCCTGCCCAGAAGTAAATGACCATATTCTGACAGCATCTTCACTAACAGAAGCGAGATAGTCACCCGCAGAGTCCCAACAAACTGACTGAATGTCCTTTGCATGACCCTGCATACATGAACAGAACTTCCCACTCAAAAATCCACCACCACCACTGGACCACAAGATACTTGCAACTTCTTTTTTGAGATGGAAGAAACATACAGCTTAACATAATTAAGGTTCATAAAATCCCTAGAGGAAATACCATTTGAATCATAATCTTTGATGCCTTTGATACATATAGGAGATGATTATTAGCAAAGAGGAACTTATTCTGGGTGCACTGGTCTGATCATGCAGTGTCTACCTAATGGACACTACCATGCTCGGTTTGTTCCCTAGCAGGTCATATGGAAACTCTTGGACCAAGGAACACAATTTTACAGAAAGGTGTAAACATATTTCGGTTTCAGCAAACCTACTGATTAAAGCCTCCTCCTAGTACCAAGTGCATATAGTGAACCTTCTTTGTCCACTGCTATCTTAGACAATTGGAATGCTTTTACTACTGGAGAAACTAAAGACATGGCACAGCATAACTTGCACAGTAATGACTTCTCCAACAGCTGATGAAAAACAGCCACGGTGCCCAAACAACTGCAGTTTGAGGCACTTTGGGCCAAAGAACCAGCTCCAGCAGAGGATGTATCTCTATTTGATGATGCAAAAAATTGTGGGCGGCCCAAAATTTCAGCCCCAAGTGCTGCCCAGAGCCCTCTAGCGGCGGCCCAATACCAAAACGCTGCGGCGGGAAGCTAACTGCCACGCTGAAACTTCCCCGTCGCCTGACCATCACCCGGTTCTGACATATTCTCGCCGCCGGTCCCACGACGGCCCCAGCCCCGGAGCCACCCCACCGCTCCTCGTCAGCCAAGACAACCGCCACAACCCCCGCCGCTGCCGCCGATTCCGGTCATTCCCCCCGCCCCCCTCCACCACCAGAGATGGTCACCGTCGCTTCACAGTTGGTCGCCGAGGTCGATTAGCGGCCGGGCGACCTTCAATCGAGCGGCCCGACCACCGCCAAGCTGCCAGACCCTTCCGGAGCTCTCGGCGCGCCACCGCTGGAGTTGGCCGCTGCCCCGGCTCCTGGTCTCCTGTCCTAGGCGGCCCGGCGACCGACTCAGCCCCGGCAGCCGTCAGATCCGCCTCCCCACCATTGGATCTCATGTTTCATTTGCTTTCCAATTTTTTGTCATCTGGAAAAGCAACAACAGCCACAATGCCAAAAAACCTTCTCTCTCCCTACCCTATAATCCTTTTTTGGAGATGCTCTTATGAGAAGGATGTAAATGCATTCTTAAATGCTCTCAACAAATTTTGTAGCTGATCTTTTGGTAACAAACCTGTAAAGGGCTTCTACAAGCATGCTGTGTCTCCCCATCAAGTATGTAGATAGCCTTCTCTGATGCAGCTGCTAGATATTTTCCTTTGCGGGGTTGAAATCTCATCTGAGTGGCACCTCCCTGCGAAGATAATAATATGAGAGAAAACCATCAAAAAAACAATTGTTTGAGCAGAAAATTGTGCTGTATGTGAAAATTAGAACTGAATAGGCAAATACCTTAAAAACCTTGACACAGGTCAGGCAGCTACCATTGTTAATGCTCCAACTGCGGACTTCCCCATCACTATCACAGGAGCAAATAATATCTTCTTTATTTGGATGAAAATCAAGTGACATCACAGATGCTGAATGACCCGTGAAAGTACGGAGCGAATAGTCAGTCTGCACAGTCAAATCAGTTAGTCACAACAAACTAAGATTGCAGCAGTTTCTAATGCAATATCTTCGTGTGAGAAATATATTGAAAGGAGGAAACAAATGCTAAGGAGTATTCAAAGGAGGAAACAAATGCTAAGGAGTATACATTGTCAGCATCCCAAACCCGTACGGTTTTGTCAAAGGAAGATGTAGCAAGGCGGGGCATGCTTGGGCTAAATCGAACATCAGTTATCAGAAACGAATGCTCTTCTAACGAGGATTTAGGCTTCAGGGGATCTGTACACCATAAAAGAACCTGCAGAGGGGCAGGTGTGTGATTGAAGGTTTTCTAACAATGGTAGAATATAGCTACTTCTGCATCAACAGCCACACCTTTTTATCATGACCACCAGTAGCAAGCAATTTGCCATCGGATGAGAAGTGGCAACAAACAACTTTACTTGCACTTGCACGTGCTTTTGCAACCTCAGCAAAGCCAAACCCTGCAACAAACAGATCTTGAGAAGATTGCAGCAATTGGACACCTTAAGAATTTATGATACTACTACTTTTGACACCTTTTTTCCTACTCTTAAACTAAAATTGATAAAGCCATGTGGCAAATAGTAACAGTTTCGAGTTTCTGGTCTGTTTTCTTTTGAGAATCAGACCAGGTTTTTGCTACCAGGAGAAGGGAATGGCCATGTTGATGGGGTCTATCTAAATAGAGAGGGACCTACAGGGCTGATTACTCAATCAGTCCATTGTGATGACAATCACACCCATATTAATTATCATTTCTAAATACAGATAACTGTCATCTGCCGGTATAATAAGGAATGACCCTAACAACAGCCCCTTTAAATACTACGACGACACGTTTTAAATCAGACTGGACTGAACGAAGAAGGATCTTTCCACACAAGAGTGGAAGGGATCCTTTATAAATAGTTCATAGCTCCAATCAAGCTTGCGCTGCTGTCTAGGATCATTAGTGCTATAGTGGAGACACTTATCTCAAATAAGAATGGTTGGCACATTCCCTTTCTGGTGGTAGTCATTGAGGATCTCAATAACAGGGATCGCAAAAACGTGTCAATAATGACAACGCTGGGCGAGAAGGCTGAAGAAGAAAAACCTGTAGATTTGAATGTCACTTCCTTTGCTAAGATAGCTAGATTTGAATGTCCATAAGGTATAGCTGCAAGCAAGCAGGAGCTCCCTTACATGGAGCAAGGAATAAATATGTAAGACATTTCTTACGGAGAGGATTGCATAGTTCCCTAAAGTGGTATGATCATATCACAGGTCCCTATCCTGCACACCTTTGCAAGTTATATCATAATCGCATTTAATTTCAAGATTAGACGACAGCTTTAGGATCTAACTAGTTTAAGACCTGCGCTTTGCTGCGGACAAGTTTATTTTAAAATGCGTGTATATGAAATTTGAATATATTTTTAAGCAGAGTCACAAATTTCAATCACTGTTTAAGTGCATAAACAAATGAAAATGTTAAACTTTGGCACAGCTAAGGCAATTTCAGTGGTAGCATCTTTCGTGAAGTTACAACCAGAATTTTGTGACGTGTTAATCTTACAATCATTGTGCTTCTTTTGATTCTTTCCTAATATCTTTCCACGAAGAGGTATCATTTTACCAAGAGAAACGCCTCTCCACGAAGGGACATCTTTTCATCAATGGTCGTGTCCCATGAGTAGATGTATTTTAAACAAGGGACATCTTCACCAACAAATGTGTCTTTTAGTCAAAGGACACATTGTTCGTCGGCCCCAACCGCTAAGATCTAACTGACTTGATTAATTCTTGATATAATCCGACGACTGTTCTTTTTAAAGTGATGTGGCTTAACGCAGATGCTGCATTAGGAGTCAGTTTTAGAATAAAGAGATGCAGAAAATACTCTCCCCCTTCCCATATGGAACCAAGGCCCCATGACTTTATCAATGGTGACATTGTTGAGATGTAGCCACGGGGCACAACTACTTCTGTGCACCGCACCTTGGACCTTGATCAAGGACATGCAACAGCAAGCAAACCAAAAGAGGGGTGCTTTTAGGAAACAGTACTGTATTATGAAGCTTAGGATTAATAAAGGAATCTAGATTATTAGGAGCCCATATTGTTGTAGGGAAGGAAAAGGGCCTTAGCATCCAACTATATAAGGATGCCATGTATGTTTGAGGCAAGCAAGAACAAGCAATTTAAACTCTGCCAGTTATTCTCTCGACTCAACCTATGTCTACACAATACCTAGCAGCCACGCCATCTGGCTATCTTTAGCACTGTGGTTCTTAGAATAAGGATTGTGGACAATGTACCCAAAATAGGCATGCGATCAGCAATGAGGGCTATTTATCAAGCTACATTACCTCGGTCACAAGTAACAGAATACACAGATTGAACTTGACAAGGACCAGTTATCAGCAGGACTAAAAAGCATACCTTTACTGGCATCCATGCAGCGTCCCAAGGTATCCCTGGGATCCATGTCATCCTGTGACAGAAAAGATTCAACATTTTCATCCAATCCTTCTTCCAGCAAACGGTCCACATCACCCTGTAATGAAGCATTTTTATTATTATACTGCCCAAAAAAAAAGAAAATTTTGATCGAACATAAGAATACCAGTGGGTTCGCGGTAGATGTCAAGCTTCCAGTGCCATCAGAGCCAAACATTACCAAGGGTTTTGCTGAAACACCATTCTGCTGAAGTTGTGGTACTGGCATCGGATCTCCTGGTGTATGAGTGGAAGGTGTCGAGGGTGCAGAACCTGGAGATGGGCCAGCAGTATTTCCAGTTCCTGAACTATTAGCTCTACCCGAGGAAGAGCCAGGCTTCTTTCTTTTCTTCGTTAACTGAACAACAAATAGTATTGTTTGTGTAAATGAACAACTGAGGTCTAGTGTATCGGTCACTTCACTAATCTAAAGCAGTGGGAGGCAAAAATGAAACGACGGTTTTTGAAAGTTAACCGGAGAGAGACCGGTAGCCTATAACCAAGAGGTTACCGCCAGTCTCCTATGATCCATTCCAGTTTGCTATATTTTCTTTACACATTTTCTTGTCGAAGTACTGTATTTCTCTTGTGTTATATGAACACTAATATCAAGTTACATCTTTACTAGTCTGAAAGCACCACTTTCCGGACTGATATACTTTTACAGTATTCTTTGCTCTGCACTACATCTTTACTAGTCTGAAAGCACCACTTTCCAGACTGATATAATTTTACCAGTCTGGTGAGGTCTAGCTGGTTCGTCATTTTTTAGTCACTGCTGGGAAGTAGATCTAAAACCGTCAACAACAACAAAAAATGGAAGATCAGGAGTAACAGTAAGGGAGACAAGGAGCAGTAACAGCTCAGTCAATTTAGTGCTATAGACAAATGAACTGTAGTGCCGAGCAAAGAATACAATTGTATGTTTTTATAAACCCTAGAAGATGGGTCATGGAGCTAGACACAGTGGTGTAGGCATGGCCAGATCATGTACCACAGCAAACTTAGCTCAGTTATTGCTAATATTATATTGTGTGAAAATGCATTATTTGGCAGGAAGATTTGAACGAAAGTTATCAGCACATTCAGATCTTATGTATACTATAAACAGGAGGACTTTAGGTTTAATGATTAATGCAAAATAACCATAAAAGGCATTTGTGTGCTGCAAAAGTTTACTTGATCAGTGGCCCCAAAAGAATTCGGCATGCCCCCATCAACAGGCATATTTCCAGTTCCTGGCTTTTCTTGTTGGAGAAGCTGATTTGAGCTTTGAGACTGCTGACTGGAGACAGCCTGATGGTGCTGCTGTTGGCTATTGCTTTGTTGTTGTAATAGTTGTTGCTGTTGCTGCTGGTGGTGGTGTGCATTAGCAATTTTCTTCTACTAAACAGAAAATTCTACATAAGAACATGGCAGCAGAAAAAAAAGGCTAGAAGAATAACCCAAAGACATCTCTACAATTTGAATCATCAAAGACAAATGTAACATAAAATTAGGTCATCTTATATCAACAGGGAAGCATAATACATATATGACTATATGAGTGGAATAAAACAGAGTTGGAAGATAGAAAACTGCAAAATCAATACCATAAAAGTATAAATCCAGGAGCTAGAAAAAATTATGAACATTATAAGTTGTCTTTGCACTATTAAAACATTGGCCTTACCATGCCAAGCACCTTATGGGCAATTAGATGTTTAGGCAGTCAGGTAAAATGGCGAATATAAAATAACTCACATTCATTGTTTTGTCATTACAGAAAATGCCAGAATATGATATCAGGCAACAAAAATACATTATGAACAGATTGAGATGATGACATTTTGCCATGATGTTCTATCTTCTATGATCGAACCCCCCATCTATCATGGAACAGGAGTTGCCTTACCTCATATAATAAGCACTTGACACAATTAAAAAATGAAGATAAAATTTCACCAAAGAGAAAATTCAAACCTGCTAGTGGAGAAAATACAAGAAAATGAACACTCGGTTAAAAATGAAAAGGTCTACCTTTATTAGCATGTCTATATCACCACCACTTTGACTAGGAGAGCCAATATTTGGGATGATATCTCCACCGCTTGTTGTCTGCCCATCCCGCCCAAGAACTACATTTCTGTTGTTAAACATCATCCTCAATCTTCTGCTGTCAACATCACTAGATGTTGGGGATGCCATATTTTGCTGCGCCTGCAAGGCAAGCTGCTGCTGTTGTTGTGGAGTCAGAAATTGGATCTGTTGTTGCAATTGATGTTGATTCTGCATGAATGACTTCTGCTGTAGAATTCCAGACCGAAGTTGCTCAAGTCCCTGCTGAAATAAACAAGCAGAATGCATGTCAAAACAAGGTTAAAATTTAGCACCCTTACTAGCAGATGTCAAATCACATATTTGCTATTTGACATTATATTGGAAAAGAAATACTCCCTCCGTTCCATAATGTAGTGCGATATAGATTTTTTGAAAAGTCAAACTTTGCAAACTTTGACCAAGTTTATAAAGAAACTATTTATATCTACAATACCAAATATATAAAATATGAAACTACATCTTATGATGAATCTAATGGTATATGTTTGGCATTCTAGATGTAAATGTTTTTCACCACAAACTTGGTCAAAATTTGTGAGGTTTGACTTTCCGAAAAAACTATATGCCCAACATTATGAAACAGAAAATATATATATGCCCAACACTATGAAACAGAGGGAGTACAAAACTAGCCTTTGTTCCACAAATTGCTGGCAATGACATTGTCTGTGATACCACTATATATTAACTCTATGTAAACCACACAAAATTACTTACGTACAGGGGTCAGAGAGAGCCATAGACAAGGTCCGAGATATGATAGCATAAAGGTGAGATGCGCTAGGGCAATATCAAATTGTGCAAATCAACAGAAGAAAGAACAGACGTGGTCATAATGTACCAGGTAAACACAAAACAGATCAACGCAAATTTAGATGCTCCCCTTGGTCAGTAAAGTACTGCAAAAAATACTATGCTATTACCAACCACGGCAAGTGTGTGTGTCCCATAAAATAATTGTCAGGTTTCGTCAATGTAGGGGAATTCAGTCTAAGCTGAATCAATACTGAATAGAAGGACATTAATCATAAGTGGAGTGTACGTAACTAGGATTCAAGTTGGGGCCCTTGCAGTTTTTGACTGGTTACTGACGTAACTGGAAAAAAATCTCCTTTTCAATTTTAAAAAAGATGAATTAAACTCAGACACTTAATACAGAAACCCCTTAGGCTTAAAATCTCCCGCAACAAATTTGAACCCTGAATACAACAGTGATGAAGCACAAAATAGTAAATGTTTAGTCATAAACTAAACCCTTACTGTGAGTGGCCATCCTTTGAGAGTCAAATTATTGGCAGCTTGATTAGATCCTGTTAAGAATGCATCTAAATTAGCCTCACAAAACTGGTCACTCAACTAAGATAAATACAAAATTGGAAATAAGAATAGTGGGAAAAATGAAAAAAAATGACGTGAGTAGTGGAGAATAGTAATTCATTGGAGCAGAATAAAAATATTACCTTGTTGACCCATGAATGACCCCTCAGGACCAGCAGCTCTAGGTGTCAAAATGGGATTTATCTCTGTCTTGATACTCTGCTAAAAGAACACATAAATAGTATTTTCTTGTTTTCACAGCTGGGTATAGTTAGGGCTGACAGATAATAGATAAATCAGGAAGACTCAAGGGACTAACCTGAGCATGCCCTGGAAGTTGGGGACTTCTACCCTGAATTTGTTGCATAGTGCCCGACAAACCACCAATGGAACCATGCAAAATTTGCCTATATAGGGGGCAAATGTTTAACATATTAAGAAAAAAATACGGAATAAAATATATCATTCAATCTGACTAATAAAGAAACAGTATGTCCTTCCATATAGGGATGAAAACGGAACGGAAACGGACAGAACTGGGTGCTACCACATTTGTTTTCATATTTTTTTGCGGAAGCGGAAACAAATACAGAAACCCCGGAAATGAATATGGAAACAGTTACTAGCAGGAACAAACACAGAGCAAATACGCAGTGGATGCGGCAACAAAAGCAAGTGTTGCTCGGAACTTAAACACACTTTAACCATAAAATTGATCAATTGTTAATATAGCTACAGAGTAATATGATTAGGTTAGTGAATTAGCATAGTATTGTAGTAGTACTGGACAATTGCGTATAGGGTCTATTTGAGTACGTGCGTGGTAGTAGAAGTTGGGCCTCACATGGGCCATTCTACTCACTGTGTCATTGTGTGTTGTTTGGTGGCTGAGCTACAAAACAGCCTTAGGCCCATAGTAAGAACGGAAATTCTATATTCACGGAAACGGAGAGTTCCGTTTCCATGTCTGTTCCGTCGGAAAATGCCATTCTGTTTTTGTTTCCGTTTCCGCATAAAAAATTATGTTCCCGTTTCCGTTTTGCAAATTCCCATTTCCATATTTCCTCTCCTTTTCAGATTTTCCTCCGCAAAAGCGGAAAGTTTTCACTCCATTTTCATCCCTACATTCATAGGGCGTACGCATCTACACTCCATACACATTGAAAACCTTACAATTGATGCACGTCCAGGATTATTGACGTCTCTAGGCTTTAAGGAGAAGGCAGCAAGGATAGCCAGCCACACCAGCAGGTGTAAGTGTGGCATTTGAATGATGATTTTGTTACTTTTAACAAGAATGCTAAAATGTCATCAGCTACTTCTGTATGCAGAACATTTTTTGTTAAAGCACTTCATAATTTACAAGTTCAGCGAGTACCCTGAGGATTGTCCACTTGCAGCTGCTTTCAGTGATGTTTCATTTGGATCAAGTAGTTGCCCAGCATTTTCTCCATACCTTTGCTGCAACCGAAAGTTTTAATGTCATAACGAGTAATAACAAATGAACTTATTTTTCTTTTGAGGAAAACATAAATGAAAACCTTTGAGGAGTCAACTAAGAGAATTTAGAACAATGGATGTAGCTACAGTGATACCTTCATAGATGCGTCTTCCAACGAGTCTCTCTGGGAAGGCAACTTTAACCTCTCCTCATACATTTTGGTCGCCATAACATTTGCAGTACTTTGGTTTTGTCGCATTAAAGGATTGTTTCCAGAAAGTCCACTTGAAGTACCATTAAGAAGATAAGAATCATCTCTACGCTGCTGCTGCTGCTGTTGCTGCTGCTGCTGTTGCTGCTGCTGCTGCTGCTGCTGCTGCTGATGTTGGTGCTGCTGCTGCTGATGTTGCTGCTGCTGCTGTTGTGCGGCTCTTTGTAACAACATTTGTTGCATTTGTATATGCTGTGGTTGCTGCTGCCGCTGTTGAGGTAACTGCTGCTGTTGGTCCCGGGCTTTCATGAGCTGCGTCTGAAAAGAGAGCAGCACATTCTAGCTGAGTTAGAACTACCAATCCAGGACAAAAGATGCCCCAGAATCACAGCTATTGATGCAAAAGCAACACAAATAAAATTATGATTTTCTAATGCAATTAATTAGATCAATATGCAACAAAGTGCCCTTGACAAGCGAAAACATAGAAAACAACAATGTATTATTAATATGTAAAATAAAACATATGTGATGACAGCGGAATTTCCCAGCTATAGTGGATGTAACACATGTAACAAGAAGTTTAAGAACTAAGAACTTGTTTAGTTTGTCAGAAGTAATGGAAAGGTAAACGTGGTGGAATAACAGTATCACACTGTTAATGTAAATGGAATGGAATGGAATGGAAGAAAGTTCAATCTTGTTCGCTTACCATGAAATATGACGTTAACTAATTGCAAAGCTAGGTCTGTGTTCTTTAACCTGTAGGATGCAACTAGGAAGAACATCCACAAATGGAATTCAAACCACCAAACAACGAAGGATACAAATTGGTATTTTGAATCATTTACGTCCAGCACCAATTTACAAAAATTTCAATGATTAGAAGGGATTTCATCTGTGGAAAAAAAATAGCACGTGGAAGAACAAAAATTGCATCAGCCCTCACAAGACATAGCAGATTAGAAAAAATCAATCTAGAGCGCATCAATCAAAACCCAAAAGATCTCCTCAGTGGCAGCCCAGCCACGATTTCACGTCTCCACCATGCCTCGACCAAAACTCTGGCGTCGCTAAGATCCAATTGCATGAGATGGGGGTCATGGAGAATGAATCAGGTCTGGCAGTTTGACGGAAGGGAAGAATGACGCGACTGGTTTGTGGCGACGGTGGCGCCCTCTAGCGAGGGGAGATCGTGGAGAATACATCGTGGTCTCCTGGGGATAAACTCGTATGGGAGATTTTCCTTTTTTTTCTTACAGGAGCTCATATGCGATTACACCGGATCTCGGGCGGAAACGGAATTCCACTAGGTCGGAAACTGATACTGCGGCAACTGATTATGACCCAGTCAAAACAAACACCGGTGTAAATGGATCACCTCCTAAGTGTTATTTAAAAGCAATAGAAAATGAATTGTGGTAAACAAAAAGGACCTCACAGGCCTTGCAAGTAAAATTGGTTACTGACTCATGAACCAAACACCTTTTAAGTGTCATTTAGCAGTAACAGCAAACAAATTGTAGTAAACCAAAGGACCTCCCAGGCCCTGCAGACTAAAATTAGTGACATTTTACATCAGATTACAGGTCACAAAGGATTTTTATTACATTATAATAAGGATAATCAAATGCATAACTGTTTACCTCAATATATGACGCTGCAACATCTGAATGCTTCTCGTTTGTTCTTGCTATGAATATATCCCAAAAAACTGACCACCACTCAAAAAGAAATCCACCAGGTGCATCAATTGCTGCATGGAAGCACAGCTAAAAAGTGAGCAATAGTTTTCACAAACAAAATGTTTAAAGGGAAAGGTTGCAAAAACCAAGACATAAGTAGCTAAACTTGCTGAGAAGCACATACCAACTGGATCTGAAGAAACCTTCCCTTCTGATTGGAAGGCCTTTGCAGTTGCCTGCAAATTTCTCTTCATAAAATAGTCGTATATGTAAACATCGAGCCTGTTTCAGCAAGCAGTTAAACATTAGTCCTTAGGGGGAAGGTTAAATGCACTAAGACATACTCCCTCCGTCCGGAATTACTTGTAGCAGAAATGGATAAAAACGGATGTATCTAGAACTAAAATACGTCTAGATACATCCATTTCTCCGACAAGTATTTCTGGGCAGAGGGGGTAGAATTCTTCAACCACAAGTACGATACCATTCAAAAGACCCGCAACCAGTATGGTGAATAACCAGCTTGGGCATAAAACATTAAGACTTGAATGGCACATTTATGCTGCATCAATGTATATTCATTTTGTTTCTTCAACTTTTATTTTATCACTAGCACATCGTCACCTAGAGTGATCTTATGTACGACAAATGCTTAGGTTTGCTAGTGCACGTTTCCGTGAAACACTGAAAAATCATGAAAAGTATTAGTAGGTCTAGTTCCCAGAAGCAGAATGAGATATTTCACCTCCTTCCTCGTACAAGAAATGTTGAAACTCAGATGTGAGTTCAAATCTAGTCATCGATGTGTAAGGAATCAACTTATTCGCTGGTACTTCCCTCCATACTATCCTCCTGAAGAAGATTACAGCGGCCCATGAACCAAATCGAACTCCCTTCTCTTATATCCATATATAATGGATAGGTCAACTATTACTACCGGTATTTCAAATCTGATGGACAAGTTATCCTGCTGTTCTCAAATCCCCAAATCACTTTTCTGATATTTGAGAGATCACCACGACAGATTATCACTGAAGAGCTATGTAGTCAAAACACTAGGTCCTTCAACTGGTAAAACAAAGCTCAAACCAAACCCGCAAAAAAAAAAAACTCCTGAAACCCTAGCGGCCAAACGCGCCACCACCGCACCACGGGTCTCCTCTCCACTACTTCAGTTTAAACTTCGTAGCCCCTCCCGTGATTTTTGCTCAAATAATCTCCAGATTAAGCAACAACAACGTTGCCCAGCCAAAACATGCCGCGAATCAACAGAATGAATACGAAAGAAACAAAATCCTCACATCTTGTCAGCCTCCCAGTTCGTCTGCGACATGGCCACCGCAGCTCGCCGACCGGCCTCCCTTCCCCCGAAGCGCCGCCCACGAGAAAAGTTAGCTCTGGCTACGCCTGGGCCGCCGCGGCCACCGACGTCTACGCAGCCGCTGTGCAGCGGGTGGACGGGCGAGTTGCTCGAGACGAGGAGAGGCGGAAGGGAGGAACCCGAGGCGAAACCTAGAAGCAGCTCGGTTGGGAGGAAAGGTGAGGCGAGGCGGCGGCGAGAGATGTGAGAACAGATTGGAGTTTGCAGTTGCAAAAGCGCGAGGAGGGTGTGCAGGGGAGAACTGGATAGGAAGGGGAGAAGAAAGAGAAGGTATAGAAGCGCAACGGGACCCACGGATTTCCCACCTTCTTTTTTCCATATATATAAATGTAATGTATATTTTATCAAGATGGCTTACCACATGTGCCATCATGTGATGTTTGTACACTTTTGCTATGTATATAATTATTTTTCAAATGACCCAGGGATGCTTGGGGGACTAGAACACGGCAATGCTTAATGGACCATGGTTGTTTAGAAATCGGACAATGTTCTTGATGGAATATGACGGTTTCATGAACCCTAGATCGGTGTCTTTGAGAGAAAAAATGTTGTATGGCAAGAGTATTAAAGTTGCCGGATAATTATTTGAATGATGTGGTGATCAAGAGAATGTGTAGAAAGATGGGAGAGATCCTGAAAGTGCAAAGTCAGCTTCACACAAGTTATGTTGGACCCTTGTTCATGTGAAAGTAAATCTTGATGTGAATAAAAAATTGGAAAGATTTGTTTCAACTACTAGGGCTAGGAAAAACGACTGTACCAAGTAAAATACGAGAAGCAACCAGTTTTTTGCAACCAGTATGGACTTATAGGTCATTGATATAAGGAATGTGGAACAGGATAACACGCTGTGCCCAAGTTTGAATAAGGGGAATTTATTTTAACTGGTGAACGGAGAAATCGGGATGGTGGTCGTGGTTCTAGAAGGGGTAAAAGAAGCGGAAGGGGAGGTGCTCCTTTTGGCAGGGGGGTTGGAAGAGGAGGTGTTCTACATCGGAATTGGAATAGTAACAGAGAAGAGGATATAACCTATGATGGTCAAGGTAGCTGGAGATGGAATGCAACATTTGGATACAAAGAACCTCAAAATCTTTTGACGGGACATGCGAAAAAGAATGACCATCATGAGGATATTAACATGACTGATATAGTTCCTTTGGCGAGGAAGAGGTTGGCTATGAACTCTAACTCGAGGGTCAAAGAAGCGCAAAGCTTGGTTGGAGCTTTAATCCCAGTGGATGTGTCATCAAAGGTCGCAAAATAGTGGACTTATTTGGTGGGAATATGGATCAGAGACGGCTTCAACTCCTCAAAAAAGTGCAAAAGAAAATAAACGAAAGGGGTTTGATGGTCTAGCTATTGATAGTATGGTTTCAAATGTCAATGCTCCAGGATCGGTGATACCACGTGAAGGGGAGGTGAGGGAGAAAAAGGAAAATAAAACTTATATCGGTGGCCTTCAAGATGGCAATTGTTCAGGAACAATGAAAATCCTAAGCTATAGTTGTCGGGGGGCTTTTGAGGGACTTGGTTCTAAGGGCATTTCTGGATATTAAATGGCTACAAGGCCCGAATATTGTGTTCGCGTCTAAACTCATTTGGATGATTGGGCTACGGAAGTGATCGAAGACGTATGAAGATAGATCATAAGGAAGTGGTGTGTAGTAATGGTAGGAGTGGCAGCTTGCTCTTGCTTTAGAAGAATGAGGCTATGGTTACCCTCGGATAGAAAACAAACTTTTCATAGATGTGTACGTTGGAATAAGGGCAGGCCGGTGAATGTAGCTCCCGCTTGCATAGGGTCTGGGGGTCCGATGGGTCAGAATAATGTTTGGAGGATGATAGGTTTGTATGGAGAGACAAAATGGGAAAACAAACATGAAGCATGGGCTTGTCTTCGATATCTGCATGTAGTCAATAACCTTCCTTGGTTGGTAATTGGTGATATGAATGAATTTTTATTTGCTTTGCAGAAAGGAGGAGGAAACCCATGGCTGCATCAATACATGCAAGCTTTTATGGTGGCGATAGCAGATTGTGAACTGTTAGGTTTTGAGTACACTTGAGATAAGTTCACATGGCATAGAGGTCTTATTAAGGGAGCAACTAGATCGGACACTAGTTAATGAGGAGTGGAGGGATAAATTCCCAGAAGCAACTCTCTCACACCTGGGTTATGCAAAGTTGGATAATAGGCCCTTACTTATGAATACAAAGGCCCAAATAACCCAAGAAGGATGCAAACCAAGGGTATTGAGGTTTGAGGCTAAATGGCTAAAGGAAGCCCGTTTTAAGGAAATGGTCCAAGGGGCCCCGGGATGGCAAGAAATAGAGTTCAAACCAATAATTTGGCAGGCAATTTGGTTGTTTTCACAAACAGTTACATCAGTGAGACATAAGGGTCCTGAGAAGCACAAAAGGCGGATTAAGGCGAGCTCGGCGAGGATTAGAAGTTGTCACACGACAACCACTAAATGATTCAAATCTTGCAAAGCAAAGAGGGACGGTAGAGTAGATTGAGAAACTATTGCAGTAGGAGGAGATGTGCCATCTCCAAAGAAGCTACATGGACTGGATGAAGTTTGGTGACAGGAATACTTCTTTTTCCACCAATCTGTCACAACGAGAAAATAGAGAAAAAAATTAAAAGGCTTAGGATAATCTAGGTAAGTTGCATGAAGGTATTGCATATTTGAATCCACTTGTTTCAGAGCTACTAAATTTGATGAGATAGATCCTGCATTATTGGACAAAGTGGTGTCCCGGGTGAACGAACATACAAATGGGTCTCTGTCAAAACCTTTGGTTGAAGAGCTAAGAGAAGCCTTATTTTCTATATGAGACATGGAAGCTCTGGGGGTTGATGGTTTGCATGTTATATTTATCAAAAAATGTTGGCACATCCTAGGCGATTCAATCATAGGAGAGGTTCTTGGTGTTGTGAATAATAAATTCCTGAGGGGTGGAACATATAGTTATTGAGCTCATTCCAGAAGTTGTGAATCCAGAATGTATCACACAATATAGGCCAATCAACCTATGTACAACCCTTTACAAAGATAATTTCAAAGATGATCACCCTTAGACTGAAGCATGTCCTTGATGATATACTTTCCCATGTGCAAAGTGTTTATATTACAGGCAAGTTAACTACTAACATTATCTTGTTAGCTTATGAATATATCCATACATTAAAGCATAATAAGTCGGGAAAATAGTACAGTGAAACTAGACATGCATAAGGCGTGTGATAGAGTTGAATAGAGGTTCCTAGAAAAAATGATGTTGAGATTGGGTTTTCATGGTGACTCTGTTGGTATGATTATGGCATGTAATACTTCGGTGAAGTATAAAGTTCACTTTAATGACCAAGAACACAAAAGATTCCATTCCTAAAAGGGGGCTCCGGCAAGGGGACCCCTTATCACCTTATTTGTTTCATTTGTGCACGTGAGATTTTTCAAGTTTATTGGCTCATAGAGAGAAGGTTGGTAGGATTATGGGAGTTAAGGTGTGCACAAATGCATCATAAGGGTCACACTTACTTTTTATTGATGATTCATTAATTCTTGTGAAGGATGACTTGAATAATGTAACCTCATTGTGACAGATTTTTGATGAATATTGTGCAAACTCGGGACAATTGGTAAGCGAAGCAAAGTGTAGCATATTTTTAGTCTATATTTGAAGGTGGAAGACAGAGATTTGTTCATAATTGAATATTATGTCAGAATCCTTATCATATAAATATATTGGTTTACTATAAATGGTTGGTGTAGATAGATCTAATAGCTTCATACATTTTCTTGAAAGGGTGGTGGCTAGATTAAAGGGATGGGAGGAAAAAATGTTAGCAATGGGAGGAAGAAATCTTGTTGAAAGCGGTCATTCAATCAATTCCGGTCTTTACTATGGCCGTGCTCAAGATTCCATGCGAAGTAATAAGGCTATCACATATGATATGGCTGCCTTTCTTCAACACGCACTTCTATTATTGTCTCATGAGCATTAACTTGTCTAAAAGTAAAATCCCCTGCCTCTCTTCCCTGAATGAACGTTTCAGACACCTCATCGATCATAGCCATGTGTTCGTTCCAAACTCTTAGGTCATCATTAAACCCAGAGTCCTCTGTTTGTATCCCATCTATCATTGATGGTCCATCATATCCTGTGAACTGCCTGTAGCTAAAACCTTGATAAGCTGGTGGAATTGGGGGAAGTTCAGGCCATACCCTCCAACCTTGTTGAGGTGGTGGTGGCGGTGGTGCTGCCTCCTAGGCATTTGCTGCATTTTGAAGATGCCACACATGTGCATTATGTTGTTTCTGTTGCATTGCATTCAGAGACGACAATTGTTCTGGATGTGGTGACACACCCATGGGCGGCGGCGCTTCTTCATTACCCTCTAGACCAGGACTCGGGTTTCTTCCGTTCACTCCTAAAATTGGTTAGAATAGGGATGAGTATGCATTGGAGACTATTTGGAAGAGATTTGCTATAAGGGTTTGCAGGTTGCTCTGAATGAGATGGTGGGGCTGCATGTTTTACTAAATTCTCTTTCTCACCATTCACTCCTGGGACCAATACCATACACCTCGCACCTGAAACTTGGACTGTCTGCATTGATTATGTTAGTGAAAGTCTAAATAACCTGCTGCCAAGTTTCTCTCAGGGAGATATGGCAATGGAGGACATGCTTACTTCTAAATCTGCTTCCTCCCAGGTTATGCAACAAGACATGATGGACCTGGACATTGCCACTTATAGGAAAAGACGTTGCAAGGCTACTCTTCTAAATGTGTCCAAGGTTAGGCGCAGCGTTAGAGCCACTAGATACATGGGATTCAAAGCACTGTCTATGGCAGAGCTGAAGAAGAAAACCTCGCATGTTTAACCAAGGTGTGTCCCCGAACTTCTGGTGAAGCAGCAGCAGCAGCTTGACACAACAA